GGAAGGTCGCTGTTCTGCCGAAGAAGCGGCAAAAATTGTGGCCAAGACCAAAGAGTTGTACCCGGATATTGAGCGCCTGTATGATTCTACAGCCCAAGCGTTTTGATGGCAATAGGCAATAGTCAGTCAATAGTCAAATGAGTCTAATGCAAGCATGTGCTAAAGGGATGCAAGTTCCAACCTTCAATTTGTTTGGGCTAGCGCGTCAATGAGTTGGAATTGGAATCCGAATCCGGATCATAGAATCATGAGTCTGAGTCTCATTGAATCATACCCTGTTGCCATGTTGGTATCTAGGTCATGGTGAGCTTGCTCTTGCAGCACCATGCATCAGCAAATGACTCCATGATTGTGGAGAATTTGCAATCAATGCCCAGACAAATCCGAATCGCATCAGCATGCAGTGGTACAGGGTCGTCCTTTGCCAGCACTGTATGACAGAGTCAGTGTCGAGTCACTTCATTCAGACATTGGTTCTTCAATGACGATGAACGATGAAATCATCCATCCAGCTAGTAGCAATTGAATCAAATAAGGTTTGAAGAGTGCATGCGCGTCGCCAACAATGCCCTGTCTGAATGGTTCACTGTTGCAAGCCATTCGGTTGAAGTGGCTTGTACTGCATCCAGACATTCAGTGAAAGCTATTGGAACATTTAGGAGCTCCATTTGGGGAGTCAGACTATGTGTTTGAAATCAATCTATTTATACTAAGACTAAGACTAATAATAGTCTAGTGTACTATACTATATCATAATATAGATAATTGATGTGTACTGTATATTGTATATATTATATTATATAATTTAATGTATAAGACTTCATATATTAATTACTTACTACACATGACAACTGTGTGTGTGTGTTTTGTTTCCCTGTGAAGTGACATTTGTTTCGAGGTTGTGCCCATGTTTGGCGCTGAGAGTGTGGGATTCAAAGCCGAGTATTGCAAGCGTGGTGCAAGATCCGAGTACTGTTTATTTGACGAAGCTTGACTTCATGTTGTTGGGTTGTTGGAGCAGCATCTTGCATAGCTGGTTTAACAGTAAAAAACATGCCCTGACTTGTAATACCTAGTATTCAAATGCAAGATAGATACAGAACTTGATTGCAAAGCATGGACTCGTAGTATTGTCCTGCAGCATAGTCTTGTATGGCTTCTCGAACTGCAGGATGTGACCACTCTGGTCGACAAGCCCAAGAAGCCACACAAGCGGCATTGTTTGGCTCACACTGCACGCCAATGCGAGCTACCCCGCAAACTTGATGGTTTTTGTGCCGGCTTTAGTTGTACTTCATACTCAAACCTCAACAAGAGCGCGCGGGAAAATGCCACCGCAATGGCAAAATCAAAAGCAAAGCCAGACGATGAGACCGTTTCTTGCATGAGTTGAAAGGGATAGGCATACGAGGCTATAGGCATACGAGGCTATAGGCATGTTTACTCACTAATTCGTTTGGTGTTTTCTGTGGCGTACGTTCTTCGGACAATGATGCGGTTTGTGCAGTTGTTGAACTATAGATCACTGAGGCAAAGGTGGCCAGTGTCTCTACGTTTGAAGGATGCCTGGACATCGTTGACTATTGTCAACCAACATGGTGTATTCTGGAGAACGTTCAAACCATCGATAGGGAAGTCGATGATGAAACGTGCCTTGGTCTTCACTCAGTTCAATCAGTGTCATGTTGTTTCTATTTAATGTAGTTATTCCTAGACGACTCATAACTTATCATAACATCATATTAATTTATATCATAAACTGTGTCGTCAGCTTATCATTATTGAATAATGTCAATATCTTTGATCAATTCCTTATAATGTATATAATAATATACATATATAACAAAATATAATGTCACATCATCATCAGTTCTGTGCGCTCTTCCTGTTCTCAGATTGAGGCAAACAAACCTGGATGAATGCTTGGGCGAGCTGTCAAAGCGTGGCTATACAAACCATTGTTTCCTGCTTGACGCTTCTGCATATGGCCTTCCCCAAACAAGGCTTCGCATATACATAGTCTCCTTGCTCGTGTGCGACCCAGCGATTGCTATCAGTGCACGCGAGTTTTTTGAGAGCATGAAGGTATTGTTGCAGAAAACATCCTTTGCTGCGCCCAACGTTGAACATTGCCTTATTGAGGGAAGACTTTTTATCCACTTCCTGTTCATGTTTTTTTTTGTGGGTTTTTGTGAGTTTGATTGTCTGATGGTGTTTTGTGGTTGGCCAGGAATCCTTTCTTCTGCCAGATGACCATCAGGCAGTTACTGACTATTTGGAATGTCTCGAGGAGACCCAGCAAGAGCGCATAGAGAAATTGCAGGAGAAGGAGGATAAACCACAAGCATGGATCAACTTGCACATGAGCGTTGCAGAGAAACGCATCTCAGCAGCAGTGAGATATCTGCGTGTGGTTGAGACATTAGCGTGACATGACATTGCTCCACTGATTAATAGTTCAGAACACTGTATGTGTTGTTTCTAATTGTGGTTCAAAGCAATGAAACACACCGCCATTTTGCAGGTGGCATTCAATGGCCAGTGCAGATTGACAAGGAAGTGACGGACACAACGTGGTTTGACGTTCTCACAGAGCGTGCAAAGGAGGTGTCTTTGTTGCAGTGCTACCTGAACAGACTTGAAACAAACTCGTGTATACCATGCAACCTGACATACTCAACCAATATCATTGAATCATTGCAACTGTTTAAGATTGATGTTGATATGGTATGATATGATATGATTTGATGATATGATTCGATTATCATTATCATATCATATCAAAATATTCATATATTATATGTATGTAACATGTATAAAAGGATGTGACGAGATGAACTCTACTTGATCTGAGGTGGTCGGATTTGCCTCTGATGAGCGTACCCGTATGGGAAGATCAGAGATCGCATTTGCTGATATATATCACTCTGCAAACAGGTATTCTACTGGGACAAAGGAGAGATTGCCCATTTGCTTGCCGCGGAGCATGTTTTGGAGCTTTGATCGGAAGAGACTGTTGCTTGGCCGTGAGAGCCTGCTTATCCAAGGCCATGCAGTCTCGGATGCAGCCGATGACTTTTTGGAAAGCCAACTGCAAGATCTAGCCGGAAACGCGTTCCTCGGCAATTATAAATAAATAAGTATAAGTTACTCATAAACTGGTGCAGGCTACAATCCATACGCATCAGTGGACGTAGTGGTCTTAGTAGTGCACGCAAAGAACATCCAAGTTTTAGTGTGAAGATCAGCGTTGAACGCCGAAGAACTAACTATGAAACTAGAGCCCAGTCAACCCGCACTCTTTTCTTTGCATCCAAGTTTTGCTGGCAATGTGGTGATGGCAGTGGTTCTTAGCTTGATGACCTCTCTCCGTTATGCAAACTCCTCTGAGTTGCAAGAGCGTGATGAAATTGAGAACATTGTAGGCTGGTTGAATGCAAGTTCTGCCAGTGACAACGCGCCTGGCGTTGTTGATTTGAGTTGAGACGAGATGAACAAACACATCTTGTCACAGGGGAATGGATGGGGTATCCGGAATCTGGATCAACACGATTCAGCCAGCATTCAGTACAGATGCGCAGGAGAAAAATAGTATGCTAGTGAGGGTATGCAGTATGCGGCCGTTTGCAATCATCCATGCGAGTGTTGTCAGCTGCATTTCATTTAGGTTGAGCTTTCAGAAACATCTGTAACACTTTTGGCATTTGGTGTATTGATTTCCACAACATGAGCACACCGCACGACCATGAGTGTGCCCGTCCGCGCACCCGTCCGTACACCCGTCCGTACACCCGTCCGTACACTTGCGCATGCATATGCGCACCTGATTGTACACCCTGTCGCGCACGCGTCCGTACACGCGTCCGCACACCCGTCCAAACACCCGTTCACTACTAGAACCACCATGTCCACTGATGCGTATGGATTTTAGCCTGCACCAGTTTACGAGGTGCTGAATATAGATAATTTATGCATGTGTATTGATGTTTATTGTTTATATATACATCCCTGGTCATGTATCTTCCATCCAATAGCAATCCTTTTGGCGGTGTTGTGAGTTGCTCGTGTTTTGGCACTTTTGGTTTTGCTTCGTGTGTTTTTGAACTTGCCACCAACACACAGGGCCCGGGCTGTTTGTTTGCAAGCATGCATGTCCATGTGTGCAAGCCGAAACCGACCTCCGAATCGGTTTAAGAGGCTAAAGTCCAAAGCAAGAGATCGCTTTGTTGTCCTTTATGTGTCCAAGAAACAGGCGGTTGCAGGGTCGTAGGTTGAAGATGGTTGAAGATTCCCGACGTGTTCATACTCACGGAGAACCCTTCCTCAAATGCTGAACTTGGCTTTGTGTTTGTACAAGTATGTATAATAACATGTACAATGCCAGTGTAACATACAGTTACAAAATATTAGTCCATATATGCTTAGTCGGCCACTTCCACCACTTGAGTGACAAAGACCAATGTGACATGACGAAAGCATGACCGTGACATACAGACTCGCTTCTGTCCTGACGGTTGCCGTGTGGGAGACAAAAACCTAGCGCTCTTATCATTCAGACGGATGTTCAGCGGTTCTGTCCTCATCTTGCTTTGCTTTGATTCACATTCACATCAGTTCCATTGAATTCCATTGAGCTTTGCATAAGATACACAGTAACTTGATAACACACACGCACAGAAGACACACCCTATAGGCTGACTCTGGATGATGAGCAAGTGGTGCAAAGCCGATGAATCAGACATGTTTTAAATGCCTCGCAACCCTGTCCCTGACATACTCATTCATTATTTGCAAATTCTTACGTTCAGTCCTCATTTCAGAAATGACCCATCCAGGCCCATCCATCTAGCTGACACAGATCCACTTAGAATTGAACAAACTCCAATCACTTTGGCACTTTGCCCCATGGCCGTGCTGGTGACCCATAGCCATACCGGGCCCAAAACCCCAGGCCCTGCCCTGTGAAGCACCGTGCCCGTCGGGTGAGTTTCCCGTCGGAGGTACCGGCAGCTCTATGAGTTGGTGAACTTTGGAATCGCCTTCCAGGACCCCGAAGCCGAAAGGCGGTGTCGCGGAAGGGTCCACACCGCATGGGTTAACTCAAGTATATAGGTGGTTTTGAGTATAGGTGCTAGCAGATAGAGATGAACACCAGGTGTCGATATCAAGTTGTGTATTCAATGCAGCTTTTTGAATCCTTGCGACCTCGTGGAGTTTGGGGGGCCTGGTACTCGTAGGTTGAAGGCTCAGATGCGGGGGATTGCATGGATTTTGAGGGTAGGAGAATCAGAAGCATTTTGCAGGTTGTGTCTTCTTGTAGATTTGGCAGGGGTCCATTCTTACCTTGACCCTTACTGCTACTAAAGACATGAACATAGAGAGAATCTCCCAATGTTTGGATGGGTTTGGGGGACTCACAGACTCTCACACCGCCCAGCGTCAAAACGCACAATGCGTCGGGATGCACAAACGATGCTGCCGGGCAGGATCTCAGAGTGCAGCATTGTGGGCACGAACGGGAGAACCACAAAGCAGCTTTGCCAGGCGAAGACACCGTGGCACATCTCGCGGGCCAAGACGTCCCTGCTCGTGTGGCGGCGGTATTTCTTTTGTGTTTTCTCCTGTGGAACCTCAAAGAGGAAGACGAGACCGCAGCTAGCTAGCAGCTAAAGAAAATATAGACATAGAACCTGAGCGACCACCTTTTTGGATGATCATCTATTCAAAGGACTGGTGAAATGGCTTCCAAGTAAGCATCGTGCACGTCTCATTGATCAAGTTTCTGACATGTGTGCCAAACGAGGAATTTGACGCGTACGGATTTTGGCGGGGAGGTTTTGAAAGCACGCGGCCCCTCGCTGACAAGCCCCCAGATTTGTGGCCATAGATTCATTTATATAAAAGCCTACAGATATTTCAAGCCTGGAGCTTTCCATCGTGCGAACTGCCTGGATCACGTTGCGAGGCTGGCCGCAGCTGAACACGTTGGAGGTGCACTTCAGAATTCCAGACAGGGTGAAGGAGGAGAACTGCCGCTTCAAGCCAGGCCACTTCTTGGACAAGTTGTCCGATGAAAGACAGGTGACAAGGACGCTCTTCGTGTATGTATAAGATCAAGATGGAATAATTGATTAGAGCTTTCCCGGTTTCGTTTGTGTTTGACCCTTTGTCCTGGGCGTTGGCACCACAAAGTTGAGGGAGAGAGGCTCCATGACTGAATGGATTAACCGACCTCAGCTTTCGCAAGCACGGCCTGATAGGACCAATGGTACAGACAGCCAGGACCTTCAAAGTGACCTTTTGATATCCTAGAATGAGGTCACTTAGAGACTCCAAAGAGGTCACTTAGAGACTCGGTCCTGGAGGATAGGTTCCACTCTTAATTCCAATGTGCATACATAAGACCCACAAGACTCGACTCCTCTGACATCCATCCGTTCTTCCGGCCAGCTGTTACGACCGAGATGAGAACGATCCATGTTTACGACGCTGATTCTTTTGTTTGGAGAAACACGGTCGAAGCTGTTCACCAAACATGATGCATCATCAAAGGGATTGACATGTTGAACGCAAAAGGCAGAAACAACAAAGAAAAGGCCCAGAGTTTCAGCATGGCTCAACTGTGGCCCAGGTTGGTTCAACCTGCTCAATTTATAGGCCAGTAAGGATCCACCTTCATATTGGTGTGCACACATGTTTATTGGAATAGGGACACCTGTGAAAGACGAGCATAGGAAGAAGGAACATCACGTCACCCAATATTGGTGGTTTATTTCGGGTCCCGTCGAGGGGAGCACCAAACACCCGCCGCAGTCGAGGTGAAAACGTGGTGATCTCCCTCAACGATCCAGCCTCCCGGCCTGAATTCGCTGGTGCCGCTGGGCCGGGGCTGAATCCACGGTCCGTGCCCTTTCCCCAAGGGTGGTTAATGTATACCCTTGACCTCTAAGGGGCTAGTAATTAATCGACATCCTTTCCATGGTGCTGGTGTATGCCATATTTGCCTACATTCGGGTGGTTTGAGGGGTCATACGTGACCCCTCCATCTTTTGGCATCCCCAAAACATCGGCTCATCGCCGATCCGCTTTCCAGGAACCTCTTTCCGGGGGCATGAGGTTTGCCCAGTTTCTCCAGTACTTGAAGTTTGGCCACTTCAACAAATCTTTAAGATCTTGTGTTTAACAAAAAAACACTTACCTTGGTGATCCTTGGTAGCTTCAGATATGCGTGGTGTGTAGGGAATGAAAGCAGACAAAGACCACCTTCGCATGGGGGTACATGAACCAACATGATGCAACTTGGTAGCTTGAGGTCTTGAGCAATCGCAGCTCATCCGATATGTTTTTCCTAATCAGACACGCTGCATTGCACATTTGACCTTGTATCCAGGTGTTAAATGAAACACCCACTCATGAGAACTATTCACCGTCTTCTTCAATGTTCGCCGGTCGTTTTCGCCGGTATTTTTCGCCTGTCTCGAGGTGAAGAACCGGGTCACCGAAGGAATGGTGCCACTCGGCATGCAGCTCTGTCCAGTCGCAGGAACCGCTTTCCTGGTTTCTGGATGACGCACTGCCCCCCTTCACTCAAAACTCAAAACAAAACCATGATGTACCTCTCCATGATGCTTTTGGATGTCACGCCTTTCCCAGGAAAGAGGTGGACTTTGTGGGGCACGTGCTGGTCGTTGACATCCAAGGGCAGATGCCCGAGGCAACGTCGACCGACTGGACATTCCTTCATGACCTTCGGTGGACCAGTCATGGCGGTCACGGCGATCATGGATTCTGAGCGATTGACCTACCGAACGAGGATCTAGAAGGTCAAGGTATACATGGTGGACTGGTCAGGCTTCAGGTTGAACGACCCATCGCCACATGACGACATGGCAATGTTTTGTCCAGATGTGCAGCTCTTTGGAGCAACACAATCAGATGGACGCACGGTCAACTTGACCTAGGGAGTTATGAGAAAAAGAAGACACGTATCCTCACGCCGTAGTTTCGTTGATTCAATCTCCATGCAGAGCTTAAGCGGTTCTACAGATCTACCAAATAGAGTTACCTAGTAGCGATGCCCTTTGTTACATTCGTAGCTTCTTGTTACTAGTAGCAAGGCCAGGAGCTACTAGTAGCGTCCTTGCTCCTAGTAGCATATATACATACACCGAAGGAATCACCTCGCCAGGATCCGCACCGCATGATGCGTTACCGCCGCTGAGCGCCAGACATGGGGCAGCTGCAGGGTTCAGGTGTTGGGCTGCGTTGGGCAGATGAGATGTCCAGACTGGGTGTCAGCTGCGGTCCAGACTCAGTCCAGGCTTTGACTGGGAACCCAGTCTGGCAGATGCTAAGATGTTGCTTTTTGACTGAGTGAGTAGGAGATCCAGACTGGGGTTCCCTTGAGCCAGTCTGGTTCTCCTTCCCAACATGAGGCTCCAAAGGGCTCAAGATGGCTCAAGCATCCACCCTGTATCCGGTCCGATGTAGCTGGGCTTTTGGACGGCGGGCCAGTCAGGTTAAAACGAGCTGTTCCTCCCCTTTTTGCGCTTTGGGCTGCTTTGGCTTTGGGTCGTTGGTAAGTCTCCAGTGGCACCAGTGGTTCCAAAGGGATCCAAAAGGATTGTTGTTGTTTGGGTCCCATCCAGTGAGTGGGTCCCGTGGGCACCGGGCACCCCTTTGCATGTTCGTTCTGCACCCAACAGGAAAGCAACCAATAGCAATGGCCTCCAACCTAAAAGCAATGGCCTTATCAATAGCGATGGCCTGCAACCCAATACCGATGGCCTCCAACCTACTAGCAATTGCCTTCAACTCCAACCTTGAAACTCTAAGTTCATCTCGCGGAACCGCCGAGGAATTGACAACTACGCCAACCGGGTGACCTTTGAACGCCAGGCGGCGAACGACTGTCCGGGGGATGGTTCGCTGTTTGCCCTGCCCGGTGAGGTCCCTAAGGTGGGCTGATGGTCATACTAGTGAATTGCCAAATTGCAAAAAATAATACTATATAAATAATTACTATAAATATTACATAATAATAGAGAAGCTGACAATGACCCCTGCTTTGGAAGATATTCAAAACATATCAAAACATAGTGGATCCTTTTTCTATTCAAGACTGGGGTTGGTTAAATCTGTTCGAGGTAGGTTACTTTGGAGTTGCCGGATGCGGCTCACACTCTGAAGACTCCGGAGGTGACTCTTGGGTTCTGGCCAGTGGATGTATTGAGTGTGCCGTTGTGAGGGAAACCACAAAGAAGCAACGCATTTGACTGCCAGGTAACTGCGCTGCTTCAATTCATTGCTATGGAAAGGAGCGGGTGAACACTGCCGCAAGGTCCCTGCGTGGATCTTTTTGGTGCCATGTCAGTCGTCTTTGCCATCCACAGACATGGAATATGGGCAAATCAAAAAAAACTATAGGAAGCCTGGTCATATGTTGTTTGGACACATTCTATCTACTCCAGGATGCATTTTTCACTATCAAAACACCATGAGATGACATTGTACGACCACCAAGTAGCAACTCCGTGGTCCGAAGGGCTGAATACTCCGGTCCGAAGGGCTGATGCATCCTTGTTGCGTTCGTAGCGTTCTTGTTCCGTTCGTAGTAAGGCCAGGAGCCACGTTTGTAAGTAGCGTCCTTGCTCGCTCTGGACTCGAGTCGCGATGCCAGGAGCCCCTAGCCGTAGCGATAGCGTTCGAACGTTGCTTCCGTCCTTTCCCCTCGTTCGACCACTGGTGGACTCCTCGTTCCCCTGGACGGCGATGTCGATCCTCGAGGACGGAGATTTGCCAGATGCTGGTGTCCGCCGGTGTGGGCAAGTTGGACGAGGCGTGCGGAGATCGAGTGTGTGTGTGTGTGTGTTTGGTGGTGTGGTGGTGAATGTGTTGGTCCCACCTGATTTGATGTCTTTTACTTTTGATCCCTCTGACTGTCAGTGCTGCAGACATGTTTTCCCCTCAACAATCTCAGGGTATACAAAATAAGAGCGCTACAGCTTTGGCTGCTATCACTGCTCGAAACCAGGCGGTGCGCGAGGAGGCAGCGATCATGCGGCGCCGCGCCTGGCGGCAGAAGCAAGGCGGGGTCCTTCAGGGTCCCCGGTGGTGCGGGTCAGTCATGGTTGGTTTGGGTGGGACTTTGGTGGAAGGACGAGGTGGAAGGACGAGTTCGTGGTGAAAACACGCCAGAGTCTTAGTGTTGAGGCTGACTGGACTGAACTGGGCCATTTTGGGGTGGGTCTGGGGCCAAATGGGTGTGTTGGAGAACAGGGCATGACTTGAACCACAAGGGCGATTCACCGCGGTTTAGTAGTCGGATTTCCTTTATTTGGATCGATCTATCTATATATATTTAGCTGGATTTAAGATAGGTGCTAGCTGGGTTTTGCAAAATACATGATTGTAAGGTACGGGGGTGGGGTGGTACAGGGTACGGGGTTTGGTACGCTTGCTGGTACGCTGGTACGGTGGTTGGGTACGCTTTCTGG